GTTTGCAGTTATATTGACGATGAAATGTATGTTTGCATGATACAATATTGGATCAGTTTGGACAGCGTCATGTCATGTTTTGTTGATTGTATACTTGACATTGAACAATATCATTAGCTTAATATCGTGTTGTCAAGACTCGTTTCACGACTGGAATCATCTAGTGGTTCAGTTGCTGTTGGGTTTATCAAAAATCTTCAAACCATGTATCGGAATATTTGTCATCATGACCCAGTAAAAGCAGCGGGATGCGGTGTCATTTCAGCAATAGTCAATACGCTCAGGTATGTGGTGTTATGCATGAATGTGTGTCCAGTCATCACAATTGGTAAATTTGACATGGTTGGATTGACATGACATGAATACAGGAGTGTCGATCAAGCAGTGGTTGATCAAAGTATTGAAATTATCCATAATTTTTCCAGCTATGTAAATTGTGAAGTGACTTCAGCCGAGTTGATAAGATCGGGTTTGATTCAAACGCTTAGCGACTTGTATATCAGATACAGCGACGACCTTGAACTAAGAACACGCATAATCAAGGTAGCTGGAACTGCTGCATCCGATATGCGTGACTTTCCTGTATCGCTTGTACGATCGTTGGTTTTTGAGCAATTGACGATATCGATACTTGATGTCGATATGTATGACTGTTTGCGCCGGTTTGGTCATATCAATGACATGATTCAGAAATCTACAAACAAGACCGAGATGATCAAGGCGTTTCGAGAATATGGAATTATGCAGCAACTCATCACTATTTATTCACGCAGAGATGTAAATCTGTATGATTATGGTGATGAAACTAGTATTGTAAAACTAGTCAAAACACTTGCTGATTTTGCCGACAATCATCCCGACAGTTCAATACGTACCGAGCTTGAGCAAGGCAGGATATTTGAAAATCTAATGGCTATTGTAAAATCGGATACTGCTAAATACACAAACAGAAAGATTGCTGGCCAGATTATTGAAACGTGTTTCCAGCATCGGGTTCACGTTGCTAATTCGAGCATTCAGCCATACAACGACAATGCCAAAATTGGTACGAGTTCTGGAATTGCCGGATATGTACGTGGAGAGGTGCGCACGCTTGTCGAAATGCGGTATATCCAGTATCTGCAATGTATACTTTGCAAACCCATGTGGTGGATCGATATCACAAACCAGCATATTGTGGAGCAATGGAGGGCTGACTCACTCGATCAGAATATATTGCCATCAACATTTAATCTTGCGTTGGAACAACTCGGGGTTTTTGTCAAACAGCTTGTTTGTAGTGGCAGTGACGGATTGGGCACAATTGTCCCAGGACCTGTTGAACTGACGTATATACTGGACAATGGCATACCTGACAATGTATACACGCGATTGATGACAAATGTATCGGATATTGAACATGGATCAAATCACAACACTGGTCAAATGGTGCACAATCTGATTGATGCATCAATGTACAGTGTTGTATATGGACAAACGATGATTGCACCACTGAGTATACGACTCAAATACACCACAATGGCACCATGCGATATACTGTTATCGACTCGACTTGTTTCAGATACGCCCATCATTAACGGCAATCCCAAGTTTATATCACGCAAGTTTCAATGTCTTCCGAGTGAATTCCGTGTCGAACAGGATGGCAGTGTGACCATCAACTCATACATCAACAATCTGAGTCCGATATGGCATCGAGACATGTACAAATGCATTGCCAAAATATTCAAATGTTTTGTTCCGATGTTTGAAAGTCTGTTCAGAACGATGGATCCAATGTTCAAATATATTGATATTCACAATGGCACAAAGGGATATGAGTTACCAAACCAGTCGGACTATGGTGGTGTGCGGCCAAACACTCAAGTCACTCGTCCCGTGTATGTACCAACACTTCCGGAACATTTCAAATCCAAATATGAATCAGCAAAGCCAGTGTCACTGCGTGGTCGTAATCTACAAGTCATTGTCAAACTCACCAACATTCAACTGACACCATCCAAACCTAAATACGACGAGGGAAACTGGCACATTGAAGGTCCACGTAACGAATCGATTGCTGCGATTGGACTGTATTACTACGACGTGGAAAATATCACCACACCCAAACTCGATTTCCGCGAGGCTGTTAATAGTTCTTATTATGAAATGCCAGCTTGTGTGTATTGGAAAGATGTGTATGACATTGTTGAGCGAAAATCATCAAAGAATCAGTATATAGGATCGCTTGAGTTACCAAATGGTCGATGTGTAGTTTATCCCAATCGATATCAACACAAAGAACAATCATTTGAACTTGCAGATCCAACTCAACCAGGACACTGCAAGATTCTGACATTTTTTGTAGTGGATTCAGTCTGTCGGATTGTTTCGACTGCGCATGTGGCTCCGCAACAACCACAATGGTACAACTCGAGTCTTGACAAGGCACACATACCGCCTGAACTGTGGAATGATATCACGCAGTATATTCAAGGTGTTCAATCACCAGCTGAAGCCAAACACCATCGAGATGAATTGACAAGTGACCGAATTCAAATCACAGCAGCATACAACACATACAGATATGAACAGAAGTATAATCTTGGTCTTTGGTGATGGATTGTGAGGTTGTGATTTTACAGCAATCAATTGGAATGTCAGTCAGATCTATGCAATTGAATGGATCGAATAAATTGAATGAATTGAATCAATCATGTCAATCATGACAGTGATTGTTGATTATATTGACTGATTGTGTACAATTGATTGATACAAGTGATATGGATGCATCATTCGGTGTTGTTGAATCAGATCATTGCTTGATTCTGTCAATGTGATCAAATGGATTACTACAAAACTGTATATGCTCAAGTTGAATCAAGTATTGAATCAAGTATTGGATTGATATTTACACACAACCACAATTACAACCACAATTGCAATCAGCACAGTCTGAATATTAGACATTTGAACATCACATATCGAGTCATGGATAAATGCGAGTTGTCATATTGGACTGTTTTTGTAGTTTATTAATGATTTGATTCACGACTGTTTGAATTCAAGGCTCAATATGGATTACAACTGGATTGTCGTTGTTTCCATTTGGAATGACAAATCTGTCAATGTGTTGATTGATTGTTAATTCATTGACCAATCCATTGATCAGTAATTGTCCAAATAAGTTGTATCCGAGTCGAGTTGTCAATCAGGATACCATAACCTGACATCCAAACAATTATTCAAATAATTGTCCAAACCATCAATGATTGTCAGAATAAGCTTTACGACTCGACTGCAATAACCACCACAGTCATGGTCAGGTTAGTATGTTGATCCGTTTACAAAGTTCCAATACTGCAACAGATTCAACATACTCTTGAAAGTGCTGCACACCACATGGATCCAGCAAACCCACTGATGAATTGAACCAATCAATTGACCAATGACATGACTCGATATTGGACATCGAGTTGCACACAGTTGGTAAAAAGTCACCGACATGTCCAGATAGTCAAACCTTGACTACAGGTTGATATCATCACCCAACACACCAAATACAACACACAATCTGGACGACTACTGGATCATATTGTGGATATCAATCGACGTAGCTACTGGTTCCAAACAATCATGTACAGTCATGTACAGTCATTACAGGACAATATGATACATTTCTGAATAGCATGTTGTAATCAACACGAATGGAGTTGTGCAATAGACTTGTCATGGTTTACAATGGTTTGATATGAACATGATGACTCGGACTCTATTCAGTCGGATCAACTCGACTACAATTGGTCGTGTATATTATGATTGACACGATCAATTGTAGTTGAACTCGAATACAGATTGACTGTTGAATCACAATGCGTGGTATCAGCAACATGATGTGCTATATGGTGGAATGTATACGCTAACCTGACATGTGTCATGTAGTGTGTATTCGATCAATATGGGTATTAGCAATCAACAAGTCATACAACGAGTTGCTCAAGTGATGGAATAGAATGCAATGAGTGCATCAATCCAAAATACGAGTCAACCATGACATATGATCATGATGTGTGGTTGATACAGCTATATAGTGGCAATCAATGTTGATATAATAGCACACAATATGAAATGCCAACACAACAGTTGCAAGTCATTGATCATCAATGTGACATTGTGGTTGCAACATGGACTATATTGTATTGATTCAGTTGATTGATTGAATTACCGAGTAATGTGCAGTGATGATTGATCGTGTCGAGTTGAATGCAGAGCATCACCAAACCACAACACATATTGATGACCATCCAACAACTGAGTGACATTCAGTTGTTAGATGGTCTTGTTTAAACATGCATTTGTTCATACTTCAGCTCACTGACCCTTTTTAGGGTGGATAAGGGTGTAAAACACAATCAGCCATATGATACTCGAATGCATAGTCAAGCAGCGGTTCAATCAATGCTGCGGTTGTTATATAAATGGATATCCCTTCAAAGGTTGACATTGGTAGCAAATCATCACCAACCCTGATAATAAAGCCAATCCCTAAAACGGTCACCCAATATGCTTTTAATACCATCCATCCAATAACTGATATAAATACGATCCAATATTACTTGTTCAGTAACCATATACAACCTGCTCAACCAAACCAATACAATGAAACTCGCAGTCACAGTATTGGCATCAATCCTGTTTGCTTGCTCGGTTACTACAGCTACTCCAGTCAATCCCAGTGCAACTACAAGTGCCGAATCTAGCATTTCAACCGTCACTCCCAGTGCACAAACTATACCTTCAATTGATTTTAGTAAACTTTCAAACAAGGATATGGGTTTGATTAGAAAATACGCAAAGATGAAGAAAGGTTATGGCGATGCAGAGAAAACACACAACTCGCTACAGCTTAAAAGACTTTCTCAACAAGAATTGGTAAAACGGCTGATTAAAGAATATGAAAAGTTGATGAGTGAATTTCAGAATAGCAAGAATCGTTCAAAGTACAGCAAGAAGCTCGAGGAACTTAAACAGGAACTTGAACAAGAACAAAAAACTCTCTATGAACTTACAAAGAAACAGCGGAATTTCGGCTTTTTTGGTTTTAATTGGAGATTCGGTAAAATCGAATTACAACTTATAAAACGTCTGTTTGGGAAAAATCTGTATCAAACAGCCAGCTATTACATGGAACTTTTGGAATCAAATTCCGAGTTTGTGGAACTCGTCAACAGACTTGGAAGTTCCACATCAAGCAAACAGTTAGGATCTCAGCAAGGCTTTACTAGTGGAACCCAGAGTTCACAACATTATGAAAGTCCATCATCATCAAGTGAAACATCTGCAATCCAACCCACTCAAACATCATCCAGCACATAAGATTTTTTTCTCAATTCTCTAATTCATGGAAAACTCCCAAATCTAAAAATGAGCGCAAATCATTTTCAAGTCCAGCCGACTCTGATAATTCTGATGAATCATTGATTTGATCGGAATGCTAATCTGGACTGATTTTGACCGAATATGTTGGATTTTTGTTTGAATAAAATACAATACAATGATCATTTGATATTGGATATTGTGTCTGATCATTGTACAGTTTTGGTTGGTATCATATCATATTGTACATTGACACTTGTATTTCCAATACGATACAATACAGTTGATCATATATTGCATAGTTGTACACATTGATGATGTTGGCATGCATGTGTGTATTGTGTCGATATGATATTGCTTGACATGCTGCAAGTGATTGTTTGGAGCCACTATGCCTTTTGATTCAGTCATTAATACTTGTAAAGCGTTGGTCAACACTTTGATTCCGAATTACCAATTGATATGATGCTACACGAACAACAGATTCGTCGTGTTCAACACTACAAATATCTGGATATTGTATTGCATGAACTACTGTATCACACCATGCGACTGGACTATAATCAGGTTGCTGTATCCAATACCATGTTGGTTGTGTCCGGTTCTTGCAAACCACCAACTCACAATCAACTTTCAGACACGAATATTCTTGGCAGTCATTCTAGTAATGGTCATGTATGCACTGGATCTGGTTGTTGGTTGGTGATGACTTGACTTGCCTACACAGTCAACAGCCAACAACGGTGTGCTACACATTGAATGCATGCAAATACATGACTGTCGTTTTGTTGTTGTTGAAATGGGTTCAGATCACCATCAGCTCGCTCACTCGTTGCACCGATGTGATTGCATGATCAACCTGACACCAACCAAACCACACTCGAATATATATGTTCCAGTCATGTGCATGGTGTATCGATTGTCAACTCACAATGTCAACTCCAACACATTCCACCATGATTATGGTCACATCACACCATGCTGATGTATGTCGATCGGTATCACATTGCAACCAGTTATCATCCAATGACTGCAATGCAATACCGTGCATGTATTGTGACTGATATGCTGTGCACCATCAGCAAGTGTGCAACTGTCACTTGATATATCGACTCTGATATGCAACAACATGCTATGTTTACCATGATCAGGTTTTTGATCAATCTCGGACTCAATACATGATTTGTCATGTTGGATTGTGTGGATGTGTCATGGACTGCAATTTAGTTACAGACACACATATGTTTGACACTGACTGATGCATACTGTGTAACGACTGATCAGTGCAGGTGTAATTGCACACTTGGTGGTATTGTGCATTATGGTTGTTTGACAATGTATGAATGCTGGATTAGTCAGTTATATGCAACCCATTTGAATCGACCTATTTGGACAAACACTCGATGCAACTGACAACAATGGGTTGACAGCCATGTGGTGCTGATACTTGAGTTGGACTGATCACAGAATACTGGCTGTTGGATCAGTCGAGTTTGTGCTGATAGTGTACCATTGGTAACAAACACAACTCCGGCACCATCACTGAGACTGTTATACAACAGTTGATCAATACACTTGTAACACCACCAGAATATACTTGTACAAGTTCATATCGTGGTTCAACACCCGAGTTTATTTTAAAATCCATTCATTCAGAAATTACAGTTTCAATACATTCCACATTGTCGACACTTGCTCAATTCCCAACTCTTGTTTGATACAAACCAAATATCACAAATAAACAAGCAATTCAATGTCCAGCAAACTCAACATTTGATCATTTTTTATTCCAAATCAAATTACTGACAATCACTGCAACATACAAATGTTTGATTTTATGTGAATACAACATTGTAATGTTATAAATATTCAACTGTTCGATATATCATCACAACAATCAATAACCAGTTTGATACACACAATCAGTCATACTTGTGTTTAATGCATGCATACACATCAATTGATTGTATCAACCATGTGTATAGTGTACTATTGTATATTGACAACACATCACATTATTGTATATGGATGAATGGTTCAAAATACACGATTAGTAGTTTGTTATGGATTGAATACAACACATTCAAACAACAATGTTTAGTGTTTGTAACACAATTTGGTATTGATAATTCATTGTATTGCAGTGTTGATATCAAGTCATGCAATGTGTTGATTGAATTTATTCAATTCACACGATCGGATGTTGAATATTCAATCGGAACGCACGACTGAGTCATGATAAGTGTGAGTCATGACTGTAAGACAAATGAGACAATCAACTCTACAAGTTAAACTACACAATCATCTAATAATACTCACAGATCATCCAACACTCTGGTCATGGCAATTATGAGTGATTTTGGTCTCGTTGACATGATTACAGTCATTGATACATTCATGTTTTTATTTTAAATATATTATAATAATGCTAGTGTATTTACAATCAGCAATCAGTTACCGTCATCTCCTGTGCAAGTCCTTTTTAATGTCATCAAGTCTCTCCTTGTTTATCTTGACTTTGACGATGAACGGAGTCAGCATAGTCTTGATTTCACCAATATCAACCTTGAGTTTGACTTCTGTCTCTTTGATCTGACTACAGAGGAAACTACCAAGAATAGTAGCTACTCCAAACATTGCTAAATACAGCAAGTAGTTTTTGCTGATATGATCTTGAACCTTGTCATGCAGGGGTTTGGATGTTGCTGCATGACTGTTGGTAGTGGTAAATGATCGTTTGAGTATGTGGGAGTGTAGTAGTTTTAATATGTGATGAGTCGAGTTGTTCATTAGGATTTTATTTGGGAAAAATGAAACAATTTATCAAAATGGAAATTTGACTATTGGAATATGCTTTGATATAAATGGTCTGTCAAATTATATTTCACTACTGGCAATCCAATCAATACATCAGTTGAACAAATGTTCATCAAATATCTTTATGCATATTTTTCAATGTTATTGTTGCTGCAATCACATTATTTAATTTACTGAATTACAATCTTGATCAAATAGTATTGAATTGAGAGTAATATTTGTTGGATCGAGTTTATCAATTCAAAACCAGTAATTTTGCGATCCACTCATTTGCCAGTCAATAACTTCTTATTGGCTGAATTCGAGTTTCAACTCAGAGTTTGCATTTATTTCATCAATGGCTTCTCGACTTGTTGGAAAGACTGTATTAATGCAAGTATTATCAATACTACCAATTATTCCGAGTACACAATGCTCATGATCTTTACTACTGTGTACAATCCACTGTTGCTGTGACTAGTACTGGCGCCTCTGCTGGTATTGGCGAAGCCTGTGCCAAGGAATTTGCCATGGCTGGCTCCAATCTGATCTTGACTGCCCGTCGCATTGATCGTCTCAAGACTCTCACTGATGGATTTGCAAAGGAGTACCCCAAGATCAAGGTCATGTCTGTCATGATGGATGTTCGCAACAGGACTCAGGTGTGTAGATCATCACTGTTGACTAGATACGTTTCAATTGAAATACTGCTACTAAATATACAGCTTACAATACTTTGCGGTGTATCAATGTAGGTGTTTGAAACCATCAAGCAACTGCCTGCCGACTTTCGTAGCATTGATGTCTTGGTCAACAATGCTGGTAAGTTTCTGTAGTCGAGTGGATCTATATGTTCATGCTAGCATCCGAGTAATCATCATGTCAAGTCTACCCAATCATCAACTCGATCACTCATGCAGTATAATATGTTATAGGCATGGTTATTGGTGTTGACCATCTCGAGAATGTCGCACCTGAAGTTGTGGACACCATGTTTGATACCAATGTCAAGGGACTGTTGAACGTCACTCAAGCGGTGCTTCCAATCATGAAAGAGCGCAACTCGGGCCATATCATCAACCTTAGTAGTGTTGCAGGCACTCAGGCTTATCCCGGAGGTAGTATCTACTGTGCAACAAAACATGCTGTTGATGCCATGACTCGCTCCTTGCGTATGGAGTTGGTTGCTACGCCCATCAATGTTACCAGTATTGATCCTGGACTGGTTGAGACTGAATTTTCAATGGTTCGATTTGGTGGTGACAAGGAAAAGGCTGCTGTTCCTTATAAAGGATTGACTCCACTCACCGCCGAGGATATTGCCGAGGTGAGTTTGTATCAGCCTGGTGCTGATCGATTAAAATGTCTTGTAAATCTGCAAGACTTTATTAACACTGTTCATGTAACATTCTTGTCTGTTTTGTAACTACTGTAGACTATTGTGTTTGTTGCCAGCAGAAAGCCACATGTTCAAATCTCCAACTTACAGATCTTTCCAACTCGCCAGGCATCTGCTACTATTATTCATCGTGATCAGTAGAATCGTAGTATCAAAATCACTTGAAATGAATTTCATTCCCAGTGCCATTTTATTGACATCAGTATGACTGCCACTACATTTCATATTGTTTAATACAGTTGCTTGAAATTCCACTCTGTGAACATTCAAGCAATCTACTACTGATCACACATTCCATCATGGTTCTGACAAGAATTGGTTCAGCACGTCCGAATATGTGCAGCTTATTTTCACTTGGCAACTGATGTCGTTATACAGCACAAGTAGTATATATAGGCACCGAGTGATTTCACACTTTCAGATTTAATATTACCGTATAAATAGCATCAGATTGTAATATACTCGAGAGTGTGCTCAAAAAAGGATATTTATGGTGAACAAACACACAAGAGAACATTGAATAGGTTGATGTTGAATGCAATCATCCAAGCTTTGATATGGACTGCTTGTAATTTTTTGATTTCTCTGTTCTCATGTCCTTTGACACTAGCTGTAAGCTATCGCTTTAGTAAGCGACAGTCAAGGGTTTCATCCCTACAAGCATCGAGTTTCCTTTAGTTGTACGATCACCTGTGTAGCTACACTTTTACATCCACCAGACTATAAGCAGTTCTCTTCAACCTGCTTGTTTATATCCAATCAGTGAATAAAATAGTCGCTCTATTCGATCATGACCACCTCTGATGCTGGTGAGTCGGATCATTCCTGATTGCAAATGCATTACTTGACAATCCTGTGCTAACTTGTTCTACCAGAGCATATTGCTGTGACTCGTTTCCGCCAGTACTTGAGAATCAAGACTGTTCAACCCACTCCCGACTATGCTAGTTGCAAGGTCTTTCTTCAATCTTATGCTACTGAGCTGGGACTTGACTTTCGTTGTGTTGAGGTATGTATTATATAGACTTGGTCTTGCTATCGTACAACTGGCAGCTAGCTATAGTTCCTGTAAGCTCATTCAACTACTACGCTTGTAATGTGAATCTCCACTATTAGATGACAGCAGGAAAGGTATGAATTGGATTGTCGAGTGATGTTGATTCAGATACTCATCTTTTACTACTATAAGCCTATCTGTATTTTGACATGGGTTGGAACCAATCCATCGCTCAAGTCTATCTTGCTCAACTCTCACACTGATGTGGTTCCTGTTAGCGAGACTCACTGGACTCATGATCCATTTGCTGCTGACAAGCTTCCCAACGGTGATATTATCGCTCGTGGGTAAGTTCTTTGGTATCAACAATATGCTGCAGTCGAGTAGAATGAATGAATACTTATTGAATGAGAATAGCACTCAAGACATGAAATGTGTTGGAATTGGATACCTCGAGGCGATCCGAATTCTCAAAGCAAAAGGTGTCAAGCTTGAACGCACATTGCATTGCACATTTGTTCCTGGTAAGACTGCAGTTGAATTCAAGTCACACCATAGGACAATGGCTGCAGACTTTCAGTAAACACCTTGTTTTGGTTCTTAGATGAGGAAATTGCAAGCCATGACGGTATGATGCCATGGGTCAAGACAGACGACTTTCGATCTCTCAATCCTGCATTTGCACTTGATGAAGGTACTTGAATTGTCATGTTAAACCTCAGTACATTCTATCTGATCGGAGTTTAACCCTGTTTTTGCTATTACCAATCAAGGTCTTGCCAATCCTGAAGATGCTTACAAGGTCTACTATGGTGAACGTGCTCCGTGGTGGATCAAAATCACTGCCAAGGTGTGTAGCAACCATACGACTGGCATGATGAATTATTGGGTTCGAATAGATTTAGCCAATGCTTTTGTATATTGACAATTTAGGGCGGAGCTGGTCATGCAAGTCAGTTTATTGAACCGTCCGCAACTGAGCGACTTGTGCGAGTTCTCTCCAAATTTGTTGCTTTCCGTGATGCCGAGAAACTCAGACTTGCTGTTTGTCGCAACGAATTTGGTCGAAGACTTCGTATTGGTGATGTTACCACCACCAATATTACAATGATGAATGCAAGTACCGTAGCCATATGCTTTTCGAAATATAAACTGATTTTCACTAATCCCATATACATGCATTTAAAACAGGCTGGTGTCCAATTCAATGTTGTTCCTGAAGAAGCCTGGGTGGGAGTAGATATGCGTGTTGCTCCATCAGTCCATCTACCTACTTTTCGCGAGCAAATGATTAAATGGTGCACCGATGAGGACACTACAGTTACTTTTGAGCAAGCCTTTATGAGTAACGCGTGCACTCCATTGACTGATGATAATCCATGGTGGAAGGAGATTGAAAAGGTTGGAAAGACTCGCAAGATTATACTTGATCCCGAGATTTTCCCTGCTGCCACCGACTCTCGCTTCATTCGCGAGGTCGGTATCCCTGCCATTGGCATTTCGTGCATTCGTAACCACCCAGTGCTGCTGTAAGTAACCCCACACCATTGTACATTTCAATTCTGACTAGTTTGCAATTACACTTGAATGTTGATTCTAACATTGTTGTACGACTGTTTGTATAGCCACGACCACAACGAGTATCTGAACGAAAAAATGCTGATTGAAGGTGTCGAGTTTTACGTTGACTTGCTTCCTGGTCTTGCCAGCATCTCTAGTACTGTGACTCCCTGATTGTATTTTGTCTCGACAAAATTCGCAATGCATTGACTATTGGCTTTTTGATACCGCAGCCGTATTTACGCAAATGGATTACTAAATAAACCAATGTTCACTTTCAGCCTTAGTACATCTCACTTTTACCGCCGTATTCGCGTGAAATGTGACACTATCTTGCGGTAATTTGCTTTATTTTGCTTTAGAATAGACAATGGCTGAGTACTCATTGCTTTTGCTATTGGAAGTTGATTGCGCTGCTTCTTGCAAGCACAATGTTCATACATTGTGCACAATTAAGCTATAGTTTAAAACTGATATTGTTCTCATTCAGCATAGTCAGGATTGCACAATCATCCGACTCATGCATTTCCATACATACATCAAGTCTGACTGTTGTCAAATTTCACCCTGCTGTATGCTAAAATATCATACACTCTAGTTCAAGAGAACAATCTTTGAAATGCAAGTCATTTCCATACCAATCACACAATGCTTGTTTTGAATGAGTTGGAGATTAAACAAGCATCAGGAATGTGAAATGTATTGGGACTGTAATGTAAACACTCGGTCAGTTTCATACAGGAATGAGTAAAGGAAAAGAGCCAGTAAACATTACCAAAACGTTGAGTACACAATACTGCTCATGAAATTAGATGGAACTGACACCCATCAAACATGAAGCTGGCTGTTTGCTATGTATTGTATGAAAAAACACTGCATAAGGGTGTCACACATAACAGAGCCAGCTATGTTGGTGTACATTGATACTGTAATCCTACGATCCGTAATTATCCACTCGTGAATAGATTGCGTATGCAGCCAACCTATGTTATGCATTGCTTGTGTAGTGTACCTTATTTCAGCATTTTTCGTACAAGTAGGGTGCTGCTTTGATGATGGAATTATCCACCAATGTTAGTCATCGATTACTACACTACTATGGAATGACCAGTATCTATAAAGCATATGTCAGCCAAGCGCGGCCCTATTTTGGATTGAAATAGTATAAAAAGCTAGCCGAATGTTTACGTGTAGACAACCAATCCATTCCAAATATCTAAAACAATGAAAGTTTGTACTCTTTCCCTTTTTTACTTGGCCATCGCTTTCAGTTATGCAACTCCCGTGCTGGTCAACGAACCTAATAGCGAACCACTTGGTAATAAGCATGATGATGGCACAGCAACGCCCCAAACAACTGAGCAAGCATCTCAAGAGCAACAGCCTGAGCCGCTAGTCGATTCTAGCTATGATTACGATCAATTCCAATCCAAACTTATGAAAGTGGCAAGTACATGTCAAACCTATTACAGTATATTATCCGAAGATCAGATTCATAGAAGGACTACCCCTGTGGATTTGACTAAAGATGGTTTGTGGGATATTCTCAAACATGACATGCCAAGACTTTGCTCGACCATTCCCGATCCCCACAATGCAGTTATAAAATTGAGCCAGCTTGATAAGCTTTGCGGGTTTATTGAAGAGGATCTTGACGAATATGAAAATATGAAACAAAAGATGGATACGCAATCCATGAAGCAAATGATCCAAGTGTACAAAACAAAAGGTGTGTTTTTGTAAAGTCAAAAGTCGATAGTCTCGGTAGTATCGACATTTTATCTAGAATAAATTACTAGACATTTTAGCTGAATATTTTGTATGATGATGTATACGATCAAGTGTTATTATACTGATATTATTTGTATGAGTTGTACGACTTGTATGTATTGTAACAGTTTTGGGTGTCAATGTATACGATAATGTACTCATAGACACGGACTGCCATTTGTATGTCAATATTGTTTTAATACTTTGCATCAATCAACTGGGTTTACAGTATACATTTGCCACGTTTTGCAGATACTATAAACTAAATGGCTGTTTGATATACATCCATGAATGGTCGTGAGTTTAAATCGGATCATATTTGTCAGAACTTTTGGAGCTTCGTGATTTGTATAAATGTAGTAAAGTATAAAGTAGATAAAGTATAATCTGTAACTGTTAGTAGTTATCAGAAGAGAACAAATCAAAAGTGTAATGGATGTTGCACTTTAATCCAAGATCAGCAGATTTGGTCTTTTCAAGAGTAGTGAAAAGGTGTAATAAAGTAATTAGAAAGTTGAAATAGTTTGACGAGTTGTTTATTGATAAAAGTAAGCATCTTAGCTTTATAGTAATTGATTGTTTGTGTCTTGTGATACGAACAAGTAACACATTTGATAATGAGAGGTTGTAAACGAAAAGTAGTTGAGCCAATGGGATTGATTCCTGTAGTTGACTATATCTACATAATGACACCATTTACCCGTTACTTGGAACATGAATCCCCAAAAATGAGGATAATGGAGTTTGGAGCATATGGATTGGTGGTGATGAAGGGTTTAATTTGGAGATTCAAAGTGTGTGCTATTAGAATTAGCTTTGTCACAGATTACCACTTAAGAGTATCCGTCTGGATATTCCAACACACGACTCTATATGTAAGATTCAAATGTCTAATATTCAGACTGTGCTGATTGCAATTGTGGTTGTAATTGTGGTTGTGTGTAAATATCAATCCAATACTCGATTCAATACTTGATTCAACTTGAGCATGTACAGTTTTGTAGTAATCCATTTGATCACATTGACAGAATCAAGCAATGATCTGATTCAACAACACCGAATGATGCATCCATATCACTTGTATCAATCAATTGTACACAATCAGTCAATATAATCAACAATCACTGTCATGATTGACATGATTGATTCAATTCATTCAATTTATTCGATCCATTTAATTGCATAGATCTGACTGGCATTACAACTCATTGTTGTATAAATCACAACCTCACAATCCATCACCAAAGACCAAGATTATACTTCTGTTCATATCTGTATGTGTTGTATGCTGCTGTGATTTGAATTCGGTCACTTGTCAATTCATCTCGATGGTGTTTGGCTTCAGCTGGTGATTGAACACCTTGAATATACTGCATGATATCATTCCACAGCTCAGGCGGTACGTGTGCCTTGTCAAGACTCGAGTTGTACCATTGTGGTTGTTGCGGAGCCACATGCGCAGTCGAAACAATCCGACAGACTGAATCCACTACAAAAAATGTCAGAATCTTGCAGTGTCCTGGTTGAGTTGGATCTGCAAGTTCAAATGATTGTTCTTTGTGTTGGTATCGATTGGGATAAACTACACATCGACCATTTGGTAACTCAAGCGATCCTATATACTGATTCTTTGATGATTTTCGCTCAACAATGTCATACACATCTTTCCAATACACACAAGCTGGCATTTCATAATAAGAACTATTAACAGCCTCGCGGAAATCGAGTTTGGGTGTGGTGATATTTTCCACGTCGTAGTAATACAGTCCAATCGCAGCAATCGATTCGTTACGTGGACCTTCAATGTGCCAGTTTCCCTCGTCGTATTTAGGTTTGGATGGTGTCAGTTGAATGTTGGTGAGTTTGACAATGACTTGTAGATTACGACCACGCAGTGATACTGGCTTTGCTGATTCATATTTGGATTTGAAATGTTCCGGAAGTATTGGTACATACACGGGACGAGTGACTTGAGTGTTTGGCTGCATATCACCATAGTCCGACTGGTTTGGTAACTCATATCCCTTTGTGCCATTGTGAATATCAATATATTTGAACATTGGATCCATCGTTCTGAACAGACTTTCAAACATCGGAACAAAACATTTGAATATTTTGGCAATGCATTTGTACATGTCTCGATGCCATATCGGATTCAGATTGTTGATGTATGAGTTGATGGTCACACTGCCATCCTGTTCGACACGGAATTCACTCGGAAGACATTGAAACTTGCGTGATATAAACTTGGGATTGCCGTTAATGATGGGCGTATCTGAAACAAGTCGAGTCGATAACAATATATCGCATGGTACCATTGTGGTGTATTTGAGTCGTATACTCAGTGGTGCAATCATCGTTTGTCCATATACAACACTGTACATTGATGCATCAATCAGATTGTGCACCATTTGACCAGTGTTGTGATTTGATCCATGTTCAATATCCGATACATTTGTCACCAATCGCGTGTATACATTGTCAGGTATGCCATTGTCCAGTATATACGTCAGTTCAACAGGTCCTGGGACAATTGTGCCCAATCCGTCACTGCCACTACAAACAAGCTGTTTGACAAAAACCCCGAGTTGTTCCAACGCAAGATTAAATGTTGATGGCAATATATTCCGATCGAGTGAGTCAGCCCTCCATTGCTCCACAATATGCTGGTTTGTGATATCGATCCACCACATGGGTTTGCAAAGTATACATTGCAGATACTGGATATACCGCATTTCGACAAGCGTGCGCACCTCTCCACGTACATATCCGGCAATTCCAGAACTCGTACCAATTTTGGCATTGTCGTTGTATGGCTGAATGCTCGAATTAGCAACGTGAACCCGATGCTGGAAACACGTTTCAATAATCTGGCCAGCAATCTTTCTGTTTGTGTATTCAGCAGTGTCCGATTTTACAATAGCCATTAGATTTTCAAATATCCTGCCTTGATCCAACTCGGTACGTATCGAACTGTCGGGATGATTGTCGGCAAAATCAGCAAGTGTTTTGACTAGTTTTACAATACTAGTTTCATCACCATAATCATACAAATTTACATCTGTACGTGAATAAATAGTGATGAGTTGCTGCATAATTCCATATTCTCGAAACGCCTTGATCATCTCGGCCTTGTTTGTAGATTTCTGAATCATGTCATTGATATGACCAAACCGGCGCAAACAGTCATACATATCGACATCAAGTATCGATATCGTCAATTGCTCAAAAACCAACGATCGTACAAGCGATACAGGAAAGTCACGCATATCGGATGCAGCAGTTCCAGCTACCTTGATTATGCGTGTTCTTAGTTCAAGGTCGTCGCTGTATCTGATATACAAGTCGCTAAGCGTTTGAATCAAACCCGATCTTATCAACTCGGCTGAAGTCACTTCACAATTTACATAGCTGGAAAAATTATGGATAATTTCAATACTTTGATCAACCACTGCTTGATCGACACTCCTGTATTCATGTCATGTCAATCCAACCATGTCAAATTTACCAATTGTGATGACTGGACACACATTCATGCATAACACCACATACCTGAGCGTATTGACTATTGCTGAAATGACACCGCATCCCGCTGCTTTTACTGGGTCATGATGACAAATATTCCGATACATGGTTTGAAGATTTTTGATAAACCCAACAGCAACTGAACCACTAGATGATTCCAGTCGTGAAACAAGTCTTGACAACACGATGCCAAACTAATGATATTGTTCAATGTCAAGTATACAATCAACATGACATGACAAGACACTGTTCAAACTGATCCAATATTGTATTGTTGTAAACATACATTTTCATCGTCAATATAACTGCAAACTTTCAAAAACAGGTTAATCGCCAATGTGAGCATTTCTTGATCCGACTCGTGAACAATAATCTCGACCATAGGCTTGATGTCAAATTTACACTCCTCGCTCCAGCGTTTATAACTGTAAAACTCTGTACATGTTTTTATCGCCTATATGCATATTGACACTGGGTGAGTTGGATTTCAATCATTTGATCAATATCAATCATGACTTGCCATCATTTT